ACACAGATAAAGTAAAGTACCAAACCAAAGTATAGTACCAAAGAGAAATATTGTAGAGGCAGTGTGCAAATATCATTCGCTATTAGTCTAATTAGTTTACGTATAGTATAAGGATAGGTTAAAGCATGCAATACTAGATGTAAGGGATTAAAACAAAATGTAAAGAATAATGTAAGGCACTGAGGTCTATTTCTAGGCCGAAAGGCCTGAAATAAAGATTCATTCATTCATTCATTCACGTACTGTACGTATCACACGATAAACGCGAGTTCAATTGCGACCTACACTGACAAGAGCGAAATTATTCGTCAATGTGCATTTCTCAGAAAGTACAGGGTGTCCATCAAGTCTCTTTACAATTTCAAAAATTGATTACAAAGGCAAATGAAAAGACAGATAAGTGGAAATTATTACAAAATGAGACGTATATATTTAAGTTTTTTGCTGCCTCGTTTAATACACCTCTATATGGACACCATTAGTTGCACAATGCACAAGACAACAGTACTCGATTTCTTAGACGATCGATGTTCTTGGTCGTCCACACCTCCCTTTATCGAACACTGTCCCTGTCCCCATAAATTTCTTGCGCCATGTACGAATTGATGGACGTGACGGTGGATCTCTTCCATACTTAATTCCTGAAGTTTCGCTGATTGTGAGTCTACAGATCCGATTTGGTTTCAATAAACCATGATACACACTGTATCTTCTCTCGAGGAGTAGCCATTTTATAAGGGATTCATTTAACAGTATTTTATTCATCAACAGGGTACCTGAAATGCAATGTGATAAAAACCTTGATAACCACCGAGAATATATAGAACAAATTTGATGAAGATATCTCATCAATTGCCTTTGTAATAAATTTTTGAAATTGTAAAGAGATCTTATGGACACGCTGTATATTTTTGATTATGTATTTTCATAGCTGACATCGAGACGTCACTACTACGTACATAAATATGGCTCTTGTTTAAGGAAATCAAGTGGAAACTCTGAGAGAGTGGGGCTCATGCACGGCGAGGAAATTTCAATGTCATTGTCAGTGGAAAGATCGATGCAGTGGAGAGGGTAGCGCTGCCGATCAAGAAAGCAAGGATTATACATTTACGTGTATAAATAGTTCAATCGTACCTTATTCTTCTTCTTCTTCTTCTATTTTTCTTTGATGTCGCATCGACTGCGAGATCATTAGCGACAACGGTGCCATTAGATATGTGTATAGTAGTTTATGTTTTTAAGATATTTTAGTACTCTTTTATATAGTACTCTATATTTTAGTACTTTTATATTTTAGTATGTCATTTTGAGAAGTCAGGTTTATGTTTGCGTTGATTCCGTATTTCTGTCTTTAGGTTTCTGTGGTGTGGCATTCGTGCAGTATGTGGGTTATTGTTAGTGGATGGTTATTGCAATGAGTGCAGGTGATGTCCAATCCTACATTCTTACCTTGTAAAATCTAATGAATTAGCAATTGTCTTAAGCAACTGCAGCAATTTTCTATTACTTCAACACTTGGTAGGATTTCTTCTTACTTCACTTACAATTAGTTTCACTGCTCCATTATTCCTTTCATATAATATCCCTCGAAAGTCATTATATATATATATTATTATATATTATTATACATTATTATATATTATTATGTATTATTATATATATTATATACATATATCTTCGTTCTTCATAGAAATTTTCTTCTTACACTTTTTGACGGAGACATGGCTCTACATACGACAAGGATTATACTCGTTTGTAATTCGCGGATATCACAACATATTTTATAAGAACTCACCAGAGTATCGGGCAGAATATCACATTTAGATGCCTATAACTCAATAATAGTTTACGTCTTAATTCTAGTGTTTTAAATACGTCTGAATATTAGACATAGAAATAAACAGAGTGTTCATGAAGCTCTTTACAATTTCAAAAATTTATTATTCACAAAGGCAAGTGAAAAGACAGATAAGTGGAAATTATTGGCAACTAATGGTGCTCATATAAAGGTGTATTAAATGAGGCAGAAAAAAATGTTAATCTATACGTCTCATTTCGTAATAATTTCCACTTATCTGTCTTTTCATTTGCCGTTTTAATAAATTTTTGAAATTGTAAAGAGTTTACACTTTATGGACACCCCGCGACAATACAAAAATAATTATCACAGTGATTCTGAACGCATTGTACGTCGCTTTCTTCCTTCTCATTTCGATTGCCAAATGAGATATACGTGTGATTGAACTTTGTCAAGCAATATGTTATTATATTAATTGTTGAATGTGAATTACTTCATATTTTTCTTTCTTCTTCGAAATCAACAAAAATTAAAGGAAAAAACCACCGCGGATTCTACATCTTTTGATCGGTGGAAATCTACAAAGACAAACGTCTGTGCAAAATTGTTATTGAGCATGATTTTCATTTCAATCTCAATGTCTCAAAACGAACACGAGTCGCAGCTGAATCCATGTTCTTTTGGAAAAAAAAAATGTTAAAGTTTCATTGATTTTTAAATGTACTTTATTTTATGATTTACTTTATAAAATAGGCAAACGTTTGGAAACAAAGGAAAAACAAAGAAATTGCGATTTCACGACAAGGAGTTCTAGGTAATCTAAGACATGTAATGAGGTTCTTGTATGCTTCATAACAACGTTCCACCATCGCTATCAAAGATAATCCAATCGTCTGTGCCAGTAATAATAAACCATCATATACATGCTTGCTACAAGTATGCAAATAATACCTGATTTTTTTATCTGTGAGTAAGGTCAACAAGCAATATCAATATTTTGCCCATCTTAAATTGACTTGTCCAAACGATTTCGTTTTGTCATTTCTTCAGACACCAAAAAGCATAGATGGAAAGAACTAATAAGGTAGAGAATCAATTTCTTTTAGATCGAAACATTTATTTACACCTCATAACTTGGAACATATAAGAACATTATAAGAAACGTTATATGGATATGAATGTGAACCCGAATATTTTCTCATAACGCCCGTTCAACGGGCGAGAATAGAATTGCTTGTATTAATCCCCCAAGATGGAAAAGTGTTTTTAAATAGAAAGTCTAAGAGATATGTCAAAGAAATATTGAATTTATCTTACGTGTTATACAGGGCTGTTTCCATCACGAGAGAGGATCACAATATTTTTATTGTGTTGTGCGAATTCGCAGTTGTACGGAACTCCGCTGTAGTTTGTTTCCAATTGTAGAGAAAGTATCATTGAAACAGCCAGTGTACAAATTAGAAATTAGAAATATTTAATGCTAAAAGCGCTATTGTAGCTGAAAGCGCGACTACACCGAATACCTGAGTTCCCAGATACATCCAGTACAACCTGAAATAAACAGAAATATCATCGCTAACCGGATATACCGAAATATTTTACCATAATTACATCTATATCTCTTTCTGCCCCAAGATATTTCGATACGTACAGCGATGATTGATGTCGTACTGACTTTACAGAGTCAGAGCTCTCTTTTAGAATGAATTTCTTGATTCCTATTTGATAATTTGCGATATACTTCTTCCAGTTCATATCTCTCATATCTAATTTCACGATGTCGCTGTCTTCCAATGTCTTCACCTTCATCGTCATTTCAGTAATGTTACATCTGTGAAAAGTCCACTCGTGCGTGTTGAAATAACTGAACGCTGCAAGTAGCTGATTCAAATGTTTGTTAACTTTGATCATCCTAAAATGCCATTTTTAAATACGATTATTCCAAACGAAAACAAAGATTGCTGTTAAAAGATATTGTTCTAACGGGCGGTTGCTCCCGATTCGATGAACAATAGAACACTCACATTGGCCTTTTACCCCGAAGTATTAAAAAAATATCCACGATGAATGCAGGTAAAACATGCAGAAATATACTCAGAACACTATAAATAAGTTTGTTAGATACTATCACGCAATATGGATATGATATCACATCGTTCATTGGTATGTCTCTGCTACACTCTGTGTACATTTGTTTCAGCTGGCCCCATCTTGGAAAATGAAACATTTGCATTCGCGGAATTAATTAAAATTGAAAATTATCATTAAAGTATCACGCGAATTATTATACATAAGGTGTCCGTAAAGTTTCTTTACAATTTCAAAAATTTATTACACAAGCAATGGATGAGATATCTTCATCAGATTTGTTCTATATATCACGGTGGTTATCAAGGTTTTTATCACGTTGCATTACAGGGACACCCTGACTGTTGATGACTAAGATACTGTTAAATGAACCACTTACAAAATGGCTACTCCTCGAGAGAAGATACAGTGTGTGTATCATGGTTTATTGAAACCAAATCGGATCTGTAGACTCACAATCAGCGAAACTTCAGGAATTAAGTATGGAAGAGATCCACCGTCACGTCCATCAATTCGTGCATGACGCAAGAAATTGATGGAGACAGGGAGAGTGTTCGATAAAGGGAGGAGCATTCGAGGAAAAACATCGATCGAGTAAGAAATCGAATACCGTCCTGATGTGTTTCGTGCAATTAATAGTGCCCATATAGAGATGTATTAAATGAGGCAAAAAAAAAAAAAAAACTTAAATATATACGTCTCATTTTGTAATAATATTCACTTCACTGTCCTTTCACTTGCCTTTGTAATAAATTTTTGAAATTGTAAAGAGACTTTATGGACACGTCCAGACACCTCTTATGGACACAGCCAGAACAAAAGTGAGATTTTGAAAAAGTAGAAAATATTTAGTGCAAGTGCAACAACTGACATTGATTATAAATTCAACATTTTTACGATTGATACAACTACAGTCAGAATAAATCAATCTAAACAAATATTCGAAAAATATGTTATTATTATATATTATATATTAATTTAAATCTCAATATTTCGTATCGTGTATGTACTCTTTCATATTTCAATTACGATGATATTCTTTTCATTGCATGTCCTAAATAAACTAAAGCTTTTGAGATACTCCAACAATCGAGAAATATTATAGTTGATATAATTTAATAAATATTACGTGATGGGGGGCGCGTTACTCGTACAGTTGTACACTTTAGGTTTATTGTCACGATGTAGAGTAATATGCCACGCCGCACATATTGTCGTGTCGACCACGTAATCAATAGGTACTAGGTCCAGCTTTGCATCTCTGTTAGCTGTTACTGCTTTTAAAATACCTTTGCCGATTTGTAGAAAGATAGCTGTAACATTAAAATGACGAAAATACAATTGTAATTGTACATTCAGTTCTCTTAGATTGACAAAAAAAAGTAAGAATAAAGACAATAAGAGTTGGTGGCAGTAAGAATGGCTAATCATCCAAATCGTTTTGTTATTAATTATACTGCTATTCAGATGATGTTGATCTTGTCACTTCCAATGATACTGATTTTGTCAAGCTAACCCTTGTCAAGTAACTTTCAAGATTAGTTTCAGCCATTCCTCGTTACTTGTTACAAAATTGCAAGTTAAAATCTTTAGATCTCTATAATCATTTTATTCCCTATACATTAGAATTGGAGTCAAGTTTAATAAATTCACATTTTTAACTACTTTTGTAAGTGACACACGCCCTCCAAATCTAATGTTAAAATAACTGAAACTTAATTTTAATTCAATCAGGAATAAGTTTAGTTTGAGTTGAATTTTGTAAGAAGCAGAAATAGCGCAGAATCTCTCAGCTGTCCTCACTTTTGATTCATGATGCTAATGTTATGCTCAAAGAGACTAAAACTTCTTTAAAAACAGCCAACTATAAGGTCATAATGGGTTCTGGGTTTTTTTTCGTTTTCTTTTTGAGCTTGTTACGTATATTGTTATGCACGACTCAAAAATGCATCTACACTGGTGACATTCTTGTGTAAACATCGCATCGATAAGATGACAATCTTCGAGGAAATCACTGTACTCGTAGGTCTGATTGCATTTTGGAGCAGGATTTCCCGACAAATTTGGCAACGACAACGTTTTGCAAACATAACAGAATACTATCTTTTCACTGCCATCAATCATTGGGGAGCATGATACAAGAACCAAACGTGGAATCGGCGAGGATACGCTTCATCTTCACTTTTTGATTGTGATTCTTTCAGTCTTAAGGGGTCAGGATAGTCTGAAACTTTCAAAAAATCGATTTTTTTTTTTTTTTTTTTGTTTTGTCTTAAATAGTAGTTTGAAGTCTTGGAAATAAAAACAATACAAAAGCTTTTAAAACGACTTCTTTTGGGGTATAACAACAAATCCGCGGATACAGAGTAATTGAATTTGTATCACTGTTTACAACTTTAAGCAGTATTACAAAGTGTAAATCGTGTGATTCAAATATTACTCTTGGTGAATCGAATATTGGGGGGGACTTGGATTCAATTTAGCTGTGAATTGTAAGAACTGTGAGCCGCGATATGCAAGTAAAAAAAGTATGTAAAGGATACGTATCAGAAATGACGTGTTCTGAAACTTTAAACGCGTTACTCTCGAAACTAGGTTTTTGAAAACGGTGTGCAAGATATCTCGGAATCTAACCAACCGATCACTGTAAAACTTAGTACGTACATTTAGTGTAACATTTACTAGGGATTGACAAACGAGAATTTTTTAATTTTTAACATTTTCGAAAAATATAAACAAGCAACGTAGAAATTTTTGGCACAAATTCGATACATCAAAAACAAATAGCTGCTATTTTCATTATTTTCAGAGAAATGAAAATGTTGGATCGTCGATCCCTAGAGAATATTGTTTACTCTTGAACTTTTTTCGCCTTTTTGTCGCAGCTAAACCTGTTTGGCTGGAATCATGCAGCAATGTAAAAACAAATTGTGTAAAAGGTTGCCGTTAAAAAGTTACACAAGAGCCCTCTTTTTTTCTCTTTTAATGTTGCTTTTTATAGTTCATAATGTGTTGAAAGAAACTGCAAAACCACAAAAGCTCATGTCAATCAAATATGTACTTTTTCTTTTTACCAGCCCTCCAAAGTATTTTTTGTAATTTTTAGTCTCGTCAAACTGTCCTGCACTCTTGAGTTTGTTGTCGATCTTTGTATTAACTTGCATCTCAACTCTAAAAGAATATATCAAATTCCTGGCCTTTGTCTATGAATTGATACATCACGTGTTGGCTTCTTAATATAAATTCAGTATCAAAAAGGTTCATTGCACTTAAAATGTTATGCTGTTGACATTTTCGAGGGGCTACAATCGGCTACTGAAACCTTTTGAAAGCCACTCGGGCGTGTAATCTTGATAACACGTGCGAGCTTTTTCAGCTTATTCAAAAAGTATCACTGTAGTTCCAAGTGAAAATTTGTTGATGATTGGCTTCCTTCTTAAGGAAAGTTGCGAAAAATCGTTTGAATAGAATAAAATAAATAAAAAGCATTGATATTTATAATTATAAAATTATAAAATAATTATAAATATATAAAAGTATATATATTAAAATATACTAAGTAAATTAAAAGTATTGAGTTATACGACAACAAAATACAGTGAGACCTCGATTAATCGCGACTATTTACGTCAATTATCTATTGGATTAATTGGAGTCTTAATTATCTACAGTTATGTTGTCTACTGTTGTCTCATGTTTATTAATATACGATTTGACCGATATAAATTTCATACTTTGTGCTTCATTTACATTTTTAATTTTCTTCCTTGAAGATCTATTTTCAGCCGTTAGTAAAAGAACATTTAGATTTATGAAGTGAATTATAAGAAAAACGTGTCGGTGTCAATGGAGAAAAAAGGCGAGGTGCTTAAAAACGAAGTCAGACAAATCAATAAAATCAAGTTATCTCTATGTTAATATAAGAGAATGAAAAAAAAGGAATAAAAATAAAAAATAATTAGTCATAAAACGAGTCCAATGAAAATAATCTTGAAAGCAAGTGCTAATGTAAAATTCAACAGACATATCGCATATGCCATGTAATAAGTTAAAATAGAAAAGATACTGCACATTAACTTCTTCAGAAGTTGCTAAGCTTCTTTTTACAAGATACAGGGTCTGGGACTGTTTTATGAAAACAAAAAATTACCAGCGATCATAGTCTTAATTGTTACTTGCGTAATCGTGAATTGAAAATGAGAGTGAATAAAAATATCTCAGTTAACTTTCGCGTTCCTCAGTATGTCTTTTGGTCCACTATATATCTGTTCTTCACCACGGATATACCAACTACAGATCACACTTCTATGGATACATTTGCTGATGACACTGTTATCCTTGCATCTCGCACAAGCTCAACAAAAGATTCTGCCTCGTCGCCAAGACCCAGCCACTCCCAAGCCACAAAAGATTTGCTTCGAAATTGGATAAAATAATGAAAAATCAATATCAACGAATGCAAATTAACTTCACCTTAACGAAAGAAAAGTGTCCTCTGGTTTATTTAAAGGACACAATGATACTGCAAGTCAACGAGTACAAATGGATGAATAAAAAAAGAGAGAATAATAGACTTCAAACTAAACAACGTGTATCAACTGTTAGGAAATGTCCATAGAAAACAAAATCCTTTTATACAAAGCTATAGCATAAGGCCAATCTGGACTCGAGTTTTAGAAATGTGCCAGTGCAAATGAAATCATGCATCTTGATACCTTAGAAACCAAACTCTCCACGAACAACTGTTTCTTGCATAAAAGTTTTGTATTTCTTACATAAAAGACATCATCAAAGATGGAAGCATAAAACATCGATCATGACATGATGAAACTAGCATGTCGTATAAATACTCCTTATAAAAACAAAAAACTTCCAACGAACAGTTTACTTGTAAAAAAATATTGCGAAGTGACAGCTCCTCAAGTCTGGATCAACTTAGCTTACACTTATAATAACATTTACACATACTTGAATGCTAGTAATCGTGAATATCTAATTATGTATCAGAGACTATTAAATGTAACGTGACAATTAAATTTCATAATTAATTTATTATCCATTGATTATTAAATACAGACGAGACTAGAAACTAGAAAGACTTATTTAGAAACATTTAAGAATCCAACATAAATTTCATGAATCTACTTATTTAATTAACCTCTGAGAAACTGTAGAAACTATTTTGTAGAAACTATTTCAATCAGTACTGTATTCTAATTTCTAATAAACTCATTCAATAGAAAGAAACCTTTGAAAATTTGAACTTTCTAGTCCAGAGTATCATAAATAAGAAAAATCAAATTTCAGAATTGATCAAATATGCGAGAAAATTGATTAACTTGATGTATAAGAATGGTAATAATATAATAATAACAATTCAGAAATCATCGACAGACCACCGTTGACGTTATTACTGTTATCTGAATCCGGTAATAATGAAACTCAGGAAAATGAAACAATAAGCTGTAAAGTAGATGCTGCCATAGAGAGCTGAAAATAACACGGCGAATGCAACAAAAGAAGATTTAAATATAGAACATGACAAGCGTCAATAAAGAATATTTCTAAGTGTAAAATTGACAGAATAAGGAAAATGAACGTTCAAGACAATATAAATATAACATTAACAACAGTAATAGGTACATGTAAATGTATGTATCCCTACATATCTATATTCTTTTATACGAGAAAACAAAATCTTATTTTGCATAGAAAAATCTTTCTTAGTTGTTCGACGTACTTTGCTGAACCTCAATTTATTAGGGCTGCTTGTCGCCTAATCATATTAATCGAGCTCTTACTGTTCTTATTCATTTATATTAAAATAACAACTCGTAATTATTTATAAGAATACCAGTAACTCCATAAATATTGTCCAGCCAACCAGGACACGGTTCTTCATGCGAGGCGCCAATTATACTTGGTCGCACTATCGCAACTGGAAAACTATCGCTATTGCTGGAAATAATTTGCTCTGCCAGATTCTTTGTGAACGTGTATGTGTTTGGATAAGTTTTTAGGATTCTTTTATTTAATTGATCGATGAACATCTTGTTTCCTCCTTCGCATATATCAATCACTGCGGAGGGTTCTAGACACGTGCTGCAAAAATTACAGTCATTACAAAATTATAGATTTTTATGCTATCTTCTTTTGACGATATGATATTTTTGGATCAATGGATAATTTAATGATAAGTTGTAATTTTTTCTTACCTGTAAATTTTCTCTTCAATTTCTGACAGATGCGCATTACTATAAGCTGTGCTAACGTAAACGACACTAATTGCGTGCTTCAGCTCCTTGCACAGTTGGATTACGCGAGCGGTACCTTTTGTATTTATATTAACAGCCACATTCAAAGGTTCATTAAATCTCACGGTAGCCGCGACATGAAACACAATATTCACATTCTCTGTCAACATTATCCTGTCTTTAGGCGAAAGACCTAAATCTGGCAGGCTCACATCCCCTTGTACGGGATGAATCTTGCTCAAAATTGACGGATCCTTTTCTTTGACGTAGTCATAAATCTAGAAGATAGAATATTACTTAAATGTTTTATGATACTGGTCACAAATCTATAAAACTAAATCAAAAAGAAAAAGAAGAAGAAGAAGAAGAAGAAAAGCGAGGATTTCAATTTTGACCAATAGTAAATTTTGACATGAATATCTGTAACTAAAAAACCAAAAAGAGATTACCACTATTTTTTTTTGTGGATAAAAAAAATAAAAAATTCTTTTAATACCGTAATAAAAGTAGTGCGAAGGAAAAGAAATATTTCAATGTTTTTGTTGAAAACCTAAAATTCACAGATCATCCTACTAACAGTTACATAAAATATCATAAAACAGAAATCTATTTAATAACATTGTGTATAAATCGATTATAATATATTCCAACAATTTTGAAATTTTTGCAAAAATTGTTTCACATTCGCATTCATTATTAAATATAATATAATATAAAATATAAAATCTTGTTCAGTTTATTTCCTTTTATTTAATTTATTTATTTTCTTATTTTATTTATTTTCACTTCATTTCTCAAAGATGAAATTTTTGAGCAAATTTTACTATTGATTTGAGTGTCATGGTAAATAATATTTTGACATCTTCAATAGGAAACTGAAGCAAAGTTTTGGTACTATAAAATGACGTATGAGTAGGGGTTAAATTTTAAAGTTACTACCTTATAAAAATAGTGAATAATAACTAAATGAATGAACCTTTATTGATTAACTTTATAAATTGAAAGTGAAGAAAATCGATGTTGTTCTGCTTACTTTTAAAGTTAAAAATTCATTATTAATCTCTTTGGTAAAGAGCAGTAGATATAGTATAATCTTACGAGCGAGAAAAAATAATCTTCATCCAACACATGTTTTAAAATAAAATATTATTAATGTATATAACATGTTTTTAATATTTTTAATATCTAAAAAAGAAATATTTCATAGTTTCATTATTACAAAAGAAAAGTTATATTATTAACCCACTATAATTATTTAACTAATCAATTAAAATTATAGTTGATTAATTAATTAATCGGTTTTGTCAAAGTTTGCATTCAACGCCTGTCGACTTTAATTAACGATCATACCAAAGAGATTAATCTACACTGTTATACAAAAAATGATCTTAAAAAAGTTTAACTGTTTCTTGGCGTATTATCATTAATCATACACTTGTGTAAAGAATTTAATTAAGAAATTAATTGAATTGAAAATTCAGGAATCAAATTAAAAATTACAGAAAATGAGCTCGTAAAAGTGTGACTGTTTCTTGACGTATTATCATTAATCATACGCTTGTGTAAAGAATTTAATTAAGAAGTTAATTAAATTAAAAATTAAGGAATTAATAAAAGTGAAGTTAATCAATTTTGATTTCTGAAAGACCACAGTTTGAAACTAAAGTTTAAAAAAGAAGTGTATTATTTACGAACTGGATCATCTAAGAGCTTCTTAAATCGTTGCTCTAACGTTTGGCTCCGCTTCGGACGAATAAGGAGAAAAATTGCGGCAATGCGTGGACACACGCGCATTAGTTTCTCCAAAATACCTTTCCCTACAAAACCTGTTGCTCCAGTCACTAAGATTGCATTAGCGGCGTAAAATCCCTCGATGGAATCCGAGTTTTCACTGTCATTAACACTGTTTGCATTAGCTATAACATCCATTCTATCCATGTTGTAGGATTTTCAACTGCAATATCTGCAAATGAGTAACAAAAAAATGAGCAGCGAAATTTGAAGATGAGCTTTTTTACTCCGTATCTCTATACAGGACGACCAACGTATAACTTTTGATAGGATTGAATAGTTTAGGTTGTTGAAACTTTGCGAACAAAAATTATTCAGAACAGAAGGGATTATAATATTGCGTTGATTATCTTTTTGTAAGGTCGTTTGACCTTAAATAGAGACACGAGTGCGTAAGCTACGTTGCAACAGATATTTATTTCAAGCTTATTTCTAATTAATTTAATTCTAATTTTATGTTCACAATGACTTATTTCTAAAACTGACAACATAGTTTATGTTAATGTTATGCGTTGAAAAAATCTGTTGACACTAATAGAAAGAATTATTACATTGACATTATTAATGACATTTTGTGCTGCTTCGTTTCGTTTTAAGATAAATATCTACATCTTGGTCCAATTTTACACAGTAAATGCTTTTCTTGTAAAAAAAAAAAAATTGTGCACAAAGTTCATGTTTAAGAAAATGAGAAAAATAAATAGTTTTTTTATGAAACCAGCATCTTGTTCATTGTTTTCGTTGATGAATTTATCTTTTATTTTTAGAATAACAACACCATCGCTCGAAGTATCTCCTTTATTACTATTTCATGCGAATCACCTATTGATACATGTATTTGTATTTGTATTATAGTTCAATTTCAAATTGTATCGTTTTACTGTGTAACTATGAAAACACATGTAAAAAAGCATAACTATGAATACTGCAAGAAAACGAGACCGATACATGTATATTGAAGGAAAATATCACGTGTGACATCGATTCAACATTTATCATAACATAGATTCTGAATGTAATATTAATATAATAATACTAATAAATATAATACTAATATTAATGTTAATATAATAATATTAATAAATGTAATAAATTGAACAACTTCTGTTGAAAAAGTTTTTTAATAGCTTGTTGTTTCACTCTATATATGTAGAGTGTCAAAGAAAGAAATGGCCAAACTTTGGTATCATTACTATGTTATTTCCTATAAAAAAAGAAGAAAAAATAAGTAATGTTTCAGAAACTCCAGTTCTGCTTGAAATTCAGTATCTGGCTATCACTTTGCTGAGTCTCTCATCTAAATGGAACAATGTCTATATTTTGGGAAGCAAGAGATTTCGAAAAGAAGAAGGCTCACAGAACAATAGAGCACGATATCAAATTGATTTGTCTACGGAATCCATGATCTCTTCTTACCTGCTATTTTCACTGTGTCCAAAGAGAGAAAGGAAGAATTGTGATTGTATGATAGCAATACTTCTAACGCGTTCCCCTGTCAACTGCAACCATATCTTCTACGCAGCTCTTTTGAACATTTATAGATGCAATGGCACAATCCCACTACCATCACCACTATCGCCACTGAAAAAAGAGGTCAACTTGTTTATACGTGTTTTCCGGACTGTAAATAAAACAGGTTTCAATGAGATGAAATGACTGACGAAATACTTACTCTAAAAGTTATTTATATAAATTTAAAAATTAATCTATATCTAAAAATTAATCTATATAAATTGCTGTATACAGTATACCTGGGTTATCTGAAGATAACCAAAAGTTGCAGTCATAAAGGATAACTGGTAAGAGACATCTGAGAGCACCTGAAAATTAACAGAAAAATTAGCAATCTAATGTGCCTTGGACGTATCATCCTGGTTTTTAACTGAGCAATTGCAAGTTACTGAATCTGACAAGTGTCCCAGAGAAAGACTAACTTAAAATTTTTATACGAGGTCATGGTAACAATTGAGTGAAATGACAAAGAACTCTTCAATCTTGACTGCACGAAAATTGATTGTTTCCTGTTTTTTTTTTTTTTAAATTTGCTCAGGATAGGTATTAGTTAGTTAGTATTGAAAATTCGAATTTTTAATCATTATTAGCCTGCCATGAATCATTCCTATTATTTTGTATCACCCTATAGGTGTAATACTAATTAAACTGGTATAGTGGCATGTGATTTTCAAATAATCTTTCAGAACTATAAAGTACTTTGTTTTCATATTGAGTGCGAAAATTAGTATTGTCTATCATCATTTATTATGTGCGAAATAAATAAAATAACATGATTTACTGTGTTTAACATGTCAAATACTCCAAAATACTTTCCTTAACGTTACTCTTATAAGTTGTAGATTTTTAGATACATAGGTTCTTCAATGCATTTCGTATGGAATGTGTCTCCAATTTATTATGGTAAAAAGGAGAAAGGAGAATGAAATATATAACTGAAGAATTATAAATATGTAACGAAGTATGTTGCATAATTTATTACGAGCGACACGAGCAGCGTGTTAACATGGACTGCGAACAGCATAAGAGAATATTTTTATAGAATACGGTCAGAGATTGTGAGGTGCACGAACGAATTTGACGCGAAGCCATAGGATTATAGCAGGCGATTAGAAAATTACGCTTATGCGAAAAGCTAGTTAATTTAAGTTAGTTAAAATATTGTAATAAACGAACTTAAAAGTACTAAGTTAATTTAATAAGAGCCACTCAACAGAAAAATATTGAAACGTTGCGCAGAAAACTGCAAAATTGAAATATTCCGAAAATTTTCTGAAAAATTGAAATAAAACTGATTAGTAGGGGGAGGACGAAGGATGTACGTTCATTTAGAAAATACCACTATTTTTTCTAGAAAATAATTACGAAAAATATATATCAAAAATACACATATAATTAAAGAATTTGAATATGTATTAAAGGCATTAGTTGTAAATACTGAATACTGTAAATGAAAGACAATGATTCAATTCTGAATGTTCGTTATTAGAATATGAAGTATGCACATTGATAACATCTCATCATGTATATCGTTAAGCTGATCGCTTGTAGTGCATTTTTTGCTTCAACTCAAGATAAAATTTAATCAAATAATTATTATATATAAGTTTCAACAATTAAAGAAATAATAACATATAAATGTCTAAACAGAACATACTATGCTATGTCATTTATAATTTGATACCAAATTCATACATAATTTTGTACCAAAATTTAATTTCAATTCTAATCAGTACAAATATTATAACCTTGTTGTTTGAAAAATAAAGGCAATGGAAGAACCACGCTTTCACTTTTCATTTTCTCAAACAGCGGATGTCTCAAATAGAGTTCTTGGAACCCCAATTGCTTGGCCTTTGAAAAAAAAACAAAATTCTTTCTTAAAAAAGGCTGATTCCAGACATTTCCCGATACGCAGAGTATTAGAAAACAATCCTTGAAAGGAGCGGATTCTAGGTATTCCTCGACACTTGGAGTGTCGTAAATTAGAGCTTCGTGCACGACCACCCAAACCTTCCTGGTGTTTGGACTTGGGTCGACCGAGATGAATCGCACGCACCGAGGTAAGGCACGTCTTCGACAGGCGTGAACTCAACGTGGCGCCAGACTGTCGTCTTGAGTCCCAAGTTTGAGAGAAAGAGCACAAGCTCGAGCATCGCCCAATGTTACGAACAATCCTCGAAGTCACTTCGGCAACGTGGTGTGAACCGTTTGTGCAGTGCAAGTTCTCTCGTGTGTGACTCAAGGTCAAAAATCGAGCAAACTTTAACAAATAACGCTCTCTCTCTCTCTCTCTCTCTCTCTCTCTCTCTCTCTCTCTCTCTCTCTCTCTCTCTCTCTGAGTTTTAGGCGAGAACTTGAGTCAGCGACGGATCAGGAATTCTCGGTTGAGAATTCGTTTTACCCACGTGCGAAGTACTGCAACGTTCCTCTCCCTCAGAGAGCGATACGATCAGCGTGCCCAGCACTAGCAAGGATTTCTATCAGTGAAGTCACACTGCAGGCGTGCTTATCACCATTCACGGGATTTCCTCAGTGAAGTAACATTACAAGCGTGCTTTGCACCATTCACGGGACTTTCTCTCTGAAATCAAAGACCAAGACGAGTCGCCCTCCCAGTCGAGAGCCTAGAGCTGTTCCATGCGATCACATTCCCTTTCAGCGCTTTTTACTGTAATCTGTGTGAGCTGTGTCAGCTGCTGTCTTCTCATCGACGACATCAGTGTGAGCTGTGTGAGCTGCTGTCTTCTCATCGACGACACCGACTGCACATCTTGGTGACACTTCTTTCTGGGTGATTTTTCTGGATAACATTTTCTCTTTTACAGGTGAGGTGTGCTTCTTCCCGCTTAAATGTCGATCATAAGGAATATCGATTACGTTCGAGAATCGTAGGAAGTGTATTGCGTATTGCACCGTTGAGGCGCTATAATCGCACGTATATTTCGCAATAAAATGATTACTTAGAATAAAACTACTAAATTACTAAATTACTAAAATTACTAAAGTTTATTGTTGAATTTAGTATTGGCATTGTTAAGAATTACGCAATATTAGCTTAAGGAAGGAAAAAAATGAGTGAGAAAATGTTACAATAGAAGTAAAAGCATATCTATAATAAAAAGCTAGTCAAATTACATGGTAACAATGTACTGGTTAGAATTGAAATTAAATTTTGATATAAAATTATAAATAACTTCTAACGTGATATCATCTATTTAAACGCTTATATGCTTATTATATATTTATTCTATTTGTTTATATTAATTGTTGAAGATTGTGTGTGATAATTATTTGGTTAAATTTTACCTTGAGTTGAAGCCAAAAATGTACGTTTTATCTTAAAAATTCACAACACAAAGCCATTATTAATTTAATTAATTTAATTTTTAATTTTTATCTGAGAACTTGTGAATGACACCTCTTTCTCGACGATTTTTCTGGATAATGTGCTTCCTGCTTCACAGGTGAGGAGTATTCCTTTCCGCCATGTTTCTCGCTTAAATATCAATCATTAGTGTAGGAACCTGTAAAGGGATTGAAAGTGTCGATGATAATGCGAGGATAATGTAGGAAGTGATGATGTGGGGGTAAGGTGAGGAAGGTTGTGCGTTTCGTCTCAGAGTCGCTGCCTAGACTCATCAGTGGGGTTGATGGCAGCGACTCCTTACCCCAGAAGCTTGTTGTTGTAACTATTCGCTAGGCTGGATTGGTCACCCATCCCAGCGGTTCCGCACCTTGTGTTTGGCTTAACATCGAATATCGATTGACTTCGACGCTAGGCGCACAGCCACTTGCGGCTTGTGAAAGTTGGTGTTCGAAACTCGTACTCGAGGAATTATAGGTCGCTACACCTGCGAAGATAATCGCGACATCTATTGATTGCTGATCGTGTGATGTGTGTGTTATGCGATAATATGACTGAGCGTGGTACTATCTGTCTGGCGCCTTCGTTTGTTTTTTAGAACTTCGATTGTTGTATGGTATGCAGAGAACGGCCAAGAGAGTGCAAGTAAAGAAGATCAGTGACTGATATCTTCGATATCTACATTATCCCATAATTAATTTACAACAATCAGGAATATCGATTACGTTCGAGAATCTATCGCGAATTGCAAATGAAGCTCTTATTGATTTAGAATGATTTCACTTTTTAGTAACTTCATGTTTCGATACTGAAAATTTAATAAAATTTAACAAATATAATAAAATTTAATAAAATTTAACAAATATAATAAAATTTAATAAAATTTAATAAAATTTAATAAAATTTAACAAATATTATAATTGACGCAGACATCATATCTTTGGCGCAATGATCAACTTCGAGTAGTATAAGTCAACGAAGTAGTATGATCGGATAAGTAGTATAAATTAATATACAGACAGACAATGTCATATAATTTGTCAACATATTGCCTGACATAAGCAAGACGTACGTACAAGTCAGACGTAAACAAATAGCTTTGCCGCAAATTGCTGGTCTGCACTGGATCTAACGGTAACTGCTTATATCTAATAGATTTCGTAAAATTGAATTGGATCTATCTTCAAAGCAGATGAATTCTCGAAGCTAAGATTTTATATCTTTGGAATCTTTCTTCTCAGAGAAAGATCTCCTCAAGATCCTTCAAATTTCATTTCGACCGGTGACCATTCGAAATCATAACCCAAAATAATTTTAAGAGGTAACTTAATTAGTTAAGAATTATTTCTGAACACAATAAAGTACAAATGATTATATATTTAAAGTGTATACTAATATTTCTTTTATAATTTAAAATTTAAAATTTTGAGCCGGATTACTGTCTCTGGACTCTTTTGTGTGTTGGAATATGCTGTCACTGTTTCTCTCATTGGTTCTATGAAGTTGTTATATTTGCTTACCGATTAAAGACAGTTAAATTCATTACTGACATGTCATATAGATTGTCCATTTGAGGAGAGTTTGTTCGACTGTATTTTTCTATATCGATGGCGCAGATTATAGGAAAGTGGTCCGAGCCATAAGTATCTTCAGGTTGATATATTATGATTTTGTGAGTAAAATCTGTTTTCGTGATTGTGCGATATAAATTGCTTTTGTACTCATTATTAAATTGCTTTTGTTCTTCCCTTTTAACAAATATAAAATGCCGGAATAATTATTTTTAAAATTAATTATTAGTATTAGACATTTATATGACAGATGGCGCAGCTATATCCAAATCGGAGCACTTTGTACTAATTTGCAAAAAAACTAATCAAGAAAAGTAATTTGTCAACTTTTAAAATTGCATCATTCATTCAAGGCGCCTAGTTCTTATTATATGTACCATTTGCATTTCAAAAAATATATTAATAACGATTTTCAAATTTCGTGGCTAAAGCATAAACGAGATATGTGAATAGATCAAGCATCTTACGAGATTTCGTGGCCCATGATCTGAAATACCGACGCAGTAAAGAATTACTGTTTTTTTTTTTAGCACACTCTACGTTTAAACACAGGCACAGACGAGGTATATGAATAGACATCGCATACAATATATTTTTTCGACCCACGATTGAAGCTCCCCTTGGACCCATGTTAAGGGCACAAGTCTTGGAAGCTTACCATTTTCATGTCACATTCTGTCGTACCAACTCAGGAAAGTTTTACTGAAGAGAAAAAATGTTTTTGGAAGTATTGACAAAAATTATCACCTTCCGTGATCACCATCACTGACTTTATCTGAAGGTTGAGAAGAGAAAAGATCTTTATAAATTGAACCTTCATCGTGCACACATCGATTAAACTTTCAAAGTGGATTTTTAAATAATATTTCTGAATATTCCAATTGTTTAAACATTATCTAATATTTCTAATTATTTACCTGCAACAATTAAACTGTAAATTCTTTTCTGTAATATTTCTAAGTGTTATTTAAAATTTTTAACTAATAATTTATAAGAATCTTGTACAATGTTTAGTTTTAGTCAATCATAAGATAGTTAATGTTTGTAAATTCAATGTGAACTCGTTCTACAGAATGATACACTTATTGCTATAATATATGTGAAACAATTTTTATTTTTTCTTTAAATATGTAAAATGTTTTGACCAATTACAACTTAGTTATCACATCTCAGTAGTCAAACAAATCTCGTGTTTTGGAATCTGGAGATACAATTAAACATTTTGCTTGTATCATTTTACTTAGTCTAATCACAGACGGGCTTTACATTTCGGTATTGAAAGTTTGACGACACTGCAATGAGTCTCAAAAATCATATTGCTGGCAAATTCACTAGTTCCTCAACTCACCGTTGTTTAAGCGTAGAGTGCGCTAAAAGGAAGATTTTTTTAGTATGTCGGTATTTCAAATCACGGGCCACAAAAGTCCGTAAGATGCAATGTCCATTCATGTATCTCGTCTGTGACATTGAATACAATGTATTTTTATCGTCTGTGGTTCAATTCAATAAATGATTCTCGAAACAGGTCTGACAACTGTTTACATTTTGTAATTTTAATTCTTGTCACTAGTAGTGCTGCGATGTAAAACCTGGTTGAACCAATACGACAAGATGTGCAACGAAAATGGTAAAAGGATCTCTAGGACGCTGAAATCGTGAGCCGAAAAAAATACATTGTATGTGAAGTCTATTCATATACCTCGTCTGTGGCAAAATCAATCTAAATCGAACGGCAAAATGTGACAAGAAAATATAGTAAGGGACACTAAGCGTGTAACACAAAAATGCATTGGACATCATGTCTATTCTATACCTCGTTTATGTACGAAGTAAGATGCAAGATTTATAACCTATGCCTTGCCTCGTCTACCTATGTCGATACCATTGACTAAATATGATTGGTCAATGTGTAGTGACCGCTACCTCCCCGCAATTTCAAATAGCGCCACTTACATCCGCTAAAACCTTCCGTCTCAAAGTGAGTTTCCAATAGAACAAACAGCGACATCTTTTTTGTAAAAGAAATAAAAAACCCGGGAAAACAGGGAAAACGCGGGAAAAGAGTTTTCCCCCTCTTCGCAAGCCAAGGATATAAAACCTGGTTGCGAAGAGGAAAATGGTCTACTAGTGATATATATTGAGAAGAATAGGACAGTTCGATAGTTCTGAGTGAGAATAGTTCGCATTGTACATTCAGTTGAGTGAGCATACAGTACGACGTTAAGGAGTGACAAGTGCAGAGTGCAAATAGTGAAAATCTCGCAAAACGAATAGACAACAAAAGCCGAGTTACGTATTCAACACCAAAGTGAGGCCGATTACGACGGAAGTCAGCAATCTTGTTCAGGAAAACCTGAACAGGCCAAACAATTTACATCCAAATAAGGAAAGCACGAGTAAGGACACTGGATAGGCAAAAGAAAAGCAAAAGCGGACCAAGTTAGATTAATAACAGCCAGAAGAAGGGCCACGTTCTTTTCGGATTCTAGCCCAGCTACCAGAATAACCAACGAACAAGGTATGAACGTTACAAACCCAGACATACACACGAAAAACAGATTCAGCATGTTTGCTGACTGTTTATTAAAGGAACCTCAAACCGAAGTCGACAACAAAAAATCCTCTGACCATACATCCACATCACCAATCATACGCCAACCTAACCAAAAGCATGCTAATCAAAAACCTCCCCCAATCTATATTCACGGAAACATAAATCACGCAGAATTCTTAGACGTGCTAAAAAGCCGATATAGCAACTCATTCCAAGTTGAATACGCCTCAAATAAACTAAAAATCATGTTCCTCAATATAAAAGATTTTTGTGAATTTGAAGAAATCTGTAGGATGGCAAACGCTGAATTTCATACATACACCATAAACACAGATAAGAAAACAACAGTTGTGCTTAAGGGACTAATACGACTACCGACCTCCAGAATAAAGGAGAGCATCGAGACGCAAGGGCTGAAAATAGTAAGTTGTACAGAGCTACCAACCCACACGGAATTCCCTATATACAAAATCACATTCGCACCAGGGACATCGTTAGCACAAATAAACCATGTTAGGTATATTGAAAACATCCAGATCTATTGGGAAAAGTACAAAACCAATAAGCCAGTAATCCAGTGCTACAGGTGTCAAGCACATGGCCATACGTCCCTGAACTGTAACAAGAAACCGGTTTGCGTAAAATGCGCAGGCGCTCACGACACCAGAACCTGTGTCAAGACTAGGGACACACCGGCAGTGTGTGCCAACTGCAAAGGAGATCACCCAGCTAACTACACTAAATGCCCAGCCCTCATAGCATTCCTAAATAAGAAGAACATGGCTTCCAACAGAATCCAGATCCAGCATGCCGCACCCGAGACTACCAGCACTAGGCAATACCCTAACCTCCAAACCACTGAAACGACACACCAGCAACAAATACCTCGATCAACTTCCAGAATCGTACCAAGCCTCACATATGCTAGGGCTCAATCACCAAATCCCCTCAAACAAAACTTGCAGTTGAGCGAACAGCTCCCTAGGACTGACATGGCGGGAAGCTTGGAGCAAATAAAAACGGCTGACCTAGACCAATTCTTAAGAATCATCGATCTCATACAAAAACACTACACCAAATGCACAAACAACCTAGAAAGATTAAGAGCAATAATCCTAATCATTCAGGAATTGCACATGACCGATAGATCCATAAATATCATGCTATGGAATGCTACCAGCGTTAGAGAAAAAACCGCTGAGTTAGAAAACTTTCTAGATAAACATAACACTGATATAGCAATAGTAACCGAAACATGGCTTAACCCCTTGGAGAAATTCAGACTCAAAAATTACAATATATACAGGAAGGACGGAATACCCGCAATTCAAAACAAACCGAGAGGGGGGGTACTGATAGCAACCCGCAAAAACATCCCAGTGGAAGATATCCCACAACAAACCACCTCATCCATTGATCATATCGACGTAAAACTTAAGACCACACCCCCCCTGACCATAGGAGCAGCATACGCCCCTCCAAAGATCAATATAACCACAAACGACCTTGACCTTATCATCCCCCAAGCGGGACACTTTATCATGGGGGGAACGTTCAATGCCAAACACCAGCTATGGAACATTCTAAAACGAAATACAAACGGATCTAGGATCAAGAAAGACGCAGACACAAGAAATTACCAAATCATTCACAGTCCGACCTACACACACAAGCAACCAAATTGCTCTCCATCCAACATAGACATGTTTCTAGCCGACATACCATACATCTATAAGTGCCAAACCGTTGATGACCTACTTTCTAATCATCTACCAGTACAGCTTACGATAGACCTAAATGAAAAAGTTATCAAAACCCAAGCGACAAGGATCACAGACTGGGAGCCAAACAGAGAACTCTGCAGCAATGTGAAAATAAACCTGAACTTGGCCGACAAAATCCCAATCGACACAGAAGTCAAAACTTTGACCCGACACATCCAAAAATCATACACTGACGCAACGCAACAAATACCAGTCACATATAGAACCTCCTGCTCCGACGAACTAATACTAAAAACAATCAAAGACAGAAACAGAATGAGAAGAAAATATCAGAGAACAGGCGACCCCAAGTACAAACATTACAGAAACATCCTGACCACCACAATAAGAAAACTAGTAACCAAAGCCAGAAACGAAGCATCGCAGGAAAAACTAACTAAGATCAATCGCACGGACAACACTCAAAATCACGGGTGGCACAAAAATGAAGCTACCTATACAGGACAAAGAACTCGACCAGCAGCTTTACACAGATAAAACAGAAGGACTAGCAAGGAAATTTCACGATATACACGAAACACGGCAACTACCCAAATATCACCAATAGAAAATCAAATTAGACTAAAAGCGGCAAACACTAACTCAACTCTTGAAGTTACACCCGATAACATTCACTGCACGCCGGCTTCATTACAAAAAAATAATCAAAAACCTTCCTAACAACAAAGCGCCAGGACCGGATGGTATCTCACTGCTGGAAAGCTCAAAAACCTCCCAAAAAAACCGCTAATACAGCTCTACTACATATACAAAGCCTGTCTCCGAACAGCCTATTTCCCCTCCTCATGGAAAGTCGCTAAAATCATTCCGGTCCCAAAACCAGATAAACCAAGGGACGATATAACAAGTTATAGACCCATCAGCCTCCTTGATCTTTTTGGAAAGATTTTGAAAAAAAATAATCCAACAACAGATACAAAGGCACATACGGCAACAAAACTTGATTATCCCTCAGCAATTTGGATTTAGGACAAGGCACTCTGCCATACACCAACTACAACGAGTTACCGAACATATCACAATGGAAAAAAAACAAGAAACGAACGACCCAGTTAGTTCTCCTGGACCTCAACAAAGCATTTGACTCCGTCTGGCATGATGCTTTAGTTACCAAACTACAGGATCTACCTACGAAATAGGAAATTCTACGTTACAATCCACACATAAGCAAATTCCAGCAGGGGTACCACAAGGATCGATTCTGGACCCGCTACTATTCACAATCTACATAAACGACATACCACACACAGCTAAAAACCCACCTAGCCATCTTCGCGGACGACACGGCGATTTATGCATCATCCTGGAGTCCCATTCAAGCTACCAAGTACTTAGAGGACCACCTTGACAAAATTCAAAATTACTTCACGAAATGGAAACTAAAAGTAAACCCCACCAAGACTCAAGGAATATTCCTTCCCAAACCGAAGAGATAACAAACTCGAGAATATACACATAGCTGGACAGAAAGTTCCATGGACAAACACTGTCAAGTATCTAGGAATCATCTTAGACTTCAAAATCACGTGGGCTCCATATCAAAGAGAGCTAGTTTGGCATATCCAGCGATGCATAGACTTATACCCCTCATATCAAGGAACAGTAAACTGAAAACTGAAATAAAACTAAACCTATACAAAATTCGCGTCAGACCAATAATCATATACGGACATCAAATATGGGCTGCAGCGGCTAACACTCACTTGAACAAAGTCCAAATAATCCAAAATAAGTTCCTAAGGATAATTCTGAACAAACACACCCATCAAAACGAAATCGCCAAAATCTTCACCATCAAAGAATACATCAAAAAAATCACTAGCTAGATCATACAACGAGAACGACCTTAACCCTCTCATCGCCGCCATCGGAAAATACAACACTCAAGACATTCCTCTAAAAATCAAAACTAGACTACCAAAACACACGCACTGGACTAAGGGGACCAAAACGCACCATACCTCATTCTCACATATCATGAATTGCAGGTTTTTTGAAAATTTTCTCCTGCAACACGAAAAACACATACATGAATCCATTGAACAAAAACTAACAAATATGTTAAATGCAGGTACAGGGTTTCAAGGAAACCCCAGGGACTGCAAATAGGAAAAACCAGCTAACGCAAAAAAAAAAAAAAGAAAATAGTCTACTAGTATAACTATCATTACTTCTAATACCATGTTCATATCTTCGCTACTACGGGTAAGAACCATTCTGTACAAAATTTGTAAGCGCACATTTCTGCGCCAGAAATGTAAACCAAAGATTAGTTATAACCTGTAAAAGAATTACGTATATTTTGTACGCGAACAGCAAAATCCTGCCTTACCTATTCAGGTTCTTACACCGCCGACGTGATCTGAAGTGCGCGAGTGGGAAAACCCTAGAGAAATTAAAGTAGCGAATAACTGTAATCCGAGATGGCCACATCGCGATCTCCGATTCGCACGCAGTCGAGCAACACAAGAGGAGCCACATACGCAGCAGGAAGACGACAACATCACAATTAACTCGTTGGCGTTTAAGTCGCTCCTGCCTTTCATCAAGGAAAATCCAAAATTCTAGTTTATTCAGGCGGAAGCAGCATTACAGATGGCCAAAAATTACCAACGACGCCACCAAATACCTTTTCCTGGTATCCCAGCTACGTCCGGACATCTTGAAATATGTAGCGGACGTTGTAAAGGCACCGCCAGCTACCGAAAAATACGACACTCTGAAGCAAAGACTTATTGGAGCTCTACAGTGAGACCGAGGAGTCGAAATCCCGCCAACACCTGAAGACGTGCAGGATGGGAGACGAAAAGCATGTACGTCGACTAAGGAGCTTGTTCGCAGACAGAGTGCCGGAAGGAATACATTTATGTTCCTCGTGCAAGTGCGCCTAAACGTACATGACATACTAGTAGCAAGCTGGCGTACAAATCTAACGACGCTTGCCTCAATAGCGGATAAGTTAATGGAGATCCAGGCGCCACACATGGCGGTGAATACCCATGGCAACATAGCGACTCCCGCGGATACAAAACCGGAAAGGCCACCAGAAGTGCCATGGATGGACGCGTGCCAGTTCCTGTCGCTCCAGGTCGCGAAACTCACACAAAAACTGGAAGCGATGGATGTAAGAGAAACACGGAGGGAGCAACCGAGGTGGAGAAGCCGTTCGAGGGCTCGCTCCAGTTCGATAGGACGGAATACGGGCTACTGCTACTACCACCAACGTTTTGGAGCACATACAGATGCACGATCCCGTGTGCATGGAGGCGAAACCCTGGTGAAAACAACATCTCAGCATCGCCGGCGGAAAATTAATTGTATGCTCCACAGCCCTGAGGACACTAGGTAAAGTAGTTATTTTATAATCCTGGATTACAAAAGCAAAATAGCATTTCTAATCGACACTGGGGCCGACATATCCGTATTGCCGCTCAGCTCGACAAAAGGAAATGTCGCCCCTTCTAATTTTAGTATCTACGCAGCAGACGGCACACCGATTCCGACCTTCGGCGAAACAACGCTCTGGACCTCCGGACTGCGACGACCATTTACCTGGGAGTTTACCGTCGCGAAGGTCCAACAACCGATAATTGGCGCCGATTTCCTTCAACATCACGGTCTTCTGGTGGATCTGAAGAACAAGAGGATTATAGACGACTGCACGAATATATACAGAGTAGGAGAAATAAGCACGACCAGTAAGCACCCAATAATCAATCACGACAATAGGAAACAGAGAACGCGACAAATACAACACATTGCTGAAACAATACATCGACGTGACTAGACCCACACAAGGATGTAACATAAGCTACGTCACAAGGTACGTCATCATATAACAACCACAGGTAGACCGTGTGCAGAACGATCCCGCAGGCTGGCACCGGACAAATTCAAGGCAGCGCGCGAAGACTTCCAGTTAATGATGAAGCAAGCAATCTGCAGTCCTTCATCGAGAGCATGGGCCAGCCCGCACACGGTCCCGAAGAAAAATGGCGGTTGAATGTTATGTGGTGACTACCGCCGACTAAACGCACACGCAGACGACACCGGAAAAATACCACACCTTCACGACTTCACGCACTGGACGATAAGAACATCTGCTCGACGTTAGATCTAGAGAGAGTCTATCATCAAATTCCGATGGCACCAGAAGACCGTGCAAAAACAGCGGTAATCACGCCATTCAGCCTCTTGGAATACAACGTCATGCCATACGGCTTAAAGAACACAGCACAAACCTTCCAGCGTTTCGTGGACGTCGTTCTCGACTTTGCGTTTTGCTACATTGACGATCTATTAATAGCCTCCTCCAACGAGTCCGAGCATCAGGAACATTTGCGACAGGTATTGGAGCGACTGCAGCAGTAATAATTAATTAACACAGCTAAGTGCGTATTTGGCTGGAAGTACTCCCAGCAGTAATGCTTGGTTTGAGGAACAATTTCAAACACGTATACCCCTTAAAATGCCGGGAGAATTTTTCGTCGACAGACACATACAGACTTTACCGTCGACAAATTCAGAAAATACATGCAGGAAATTCGACCAAGAACAACGAGACACCACTCCAGACGTTCATACTTCATTTTCGACAATTTGTTTAAAACAACGCATGTATTTGTGAGAGTGGACCATGTAGAGCACCCTTTGGAACAGCCGTATGAGGGTCCATACCACGTACTGAAACACATTTCAGATAATGTATTCTTAATTGATATAAAAGGCAAGGAAACCACCATCTCGACGGAACGTTTGAAACCGGCATACATAGAGTTACAGGAGGAACAAGAACCGCGGATCTGTCCCAGAGGGCAAATATCGTCTGCTCTCCCCTCCAGGTCGAGCGATTCGGGGGAGGGTAGTGTAGCGACCGCTATTTCCCCGCAATTTGAAACAGCGCCACTTACATCCAATAAAACCTTCCGTCGCAAGGTGAGTTTCCAATAAAACAGTAAGTAACATCTTTTTTGTAAAGGAAATAAGAAACGCGGGAAAAGAGTTTTCCTCCTCTTTGCAAGTCAAGAGTATAAAACCTGGTTGCGAAGAGGAAAAAATATCTACTGCTATAACTACCATTACTCCTACTACTACGTTCGTTACTATCTTCGCTACTACGGGTAAGAACCATTCTGTACGAAATTTGTAAGCGCACATTTGTGAGAATGAAGACTAGTTATAAACTGTAAATTGTAACTGTAAAAGAATTACATATATTTTGTACGCGAACAGCAGAATCCTGCCTTACCCACTTAGGTTCATACACCTGCGAAGATAATTGCGACATCTGTTGATTGCTGATCGTGTGATGTGTGTGTTATGCAATAGTATGCCTGAGTGTGGTACTATCTGTGGTCGCGAAGTCTGGCGCCTTCCTATATTTTTAGATCTTCGATTGTTGTATGGTATCCAGAGAACAGCCAAGAGAGTGCAAGATTCACTGACTTTGATATCTTCATTATCCCATAATTAATTTACAACAATCAGGAATATCGATTACGTTCGAGAATCGTAGGAAGCAATTCGCGAAGCTATCGCGAATTGCAAATGAAGCTCTTATTGATTTAGAATGATTTCACTTTTTACTAACTTCATGTTTCGATACTGAAAATTTAATAAAATTTAACAAATATTATAATTGACCCCATCATTCGTTTAAGGCGCCTAGCTCTTATTATACTGTACTGTACCATTTGCATTTCAAAAAATATGTTAATAAAGATTTTCAAATTGTGGCTAAGGCATAAACGAGATATGTGAATAGACCAAGCATCTTACGAAATTTTGTGGCCCATGATCTGAAATACTGACACAGTAAAAAATTACTGTCTTTTTTTTAGCACACTCTACGTTTAAATACAGGCACAGACGAAGTATATGAATAAACATTGCATACAATATATTTTTTCGATCCACGATTGGGGGGTCTTGGACCTCCTTACTATTTTCATGTCACATTCTGTCGTATCGATTCCGGCAAGTTTTACTGAAGAGAAAAAATGTTTTTGGAAGTATTGACAAAAATTATCACCTTCCGTGATCACCATCACTGACTTTACCTGAAGGTTGAGAAGAGAAACGATCTTTATAAATTGAACCTTCATCGTGTACACATCGACTTTCAAAGTGCATTTTTAAATAATATTTCTGAATATTCCAGTTGTTTAAACATTATCTAATATTTTTAATTATTTACCTGCAATTGGACGATAAATTCTTTTCTGTAATATTTCTAAGTGTTATTTAAAATTTTTAACTTATAATAATTTATAAGAATCTTGTACAATGTTTAGTTTTAGTCAATCATAAGATAGTTAATGTTTGTAAATTCAATGTGAACTCGTTCTACAGAATGATACACTCATTGCTATAATATACGTGAAACAATTTTTATTTTTTCTTTAAATATGTAAAATGTTTTGACCAATTATAACTTAGTTATCACATCTCAGTAGTCAAACAAATCTCGTGTTTTGGAATCTGGCGATACAATTAAACATTTTGCTTGTATCATTTTACTTAGTGTAATCACAGACGGGCTTTACATTTCGGTATTGAAAGTTTGACGATACTGCAATGAGTCTCAAAAATCATATTGCTGGCAAATTCACTAGTTCCTCAACTCATCGTTGTTTGAGCGTAGAGTGCGCTAAAAGAAAGATTTTTTTAGTATGTCGGTATTTCAGGTCACGGGCCACAAAAGTCCGTGAGATGCAATGTCCATTCATATATCTCGTCTGTGGCAAATGATTCTCGAAACAGGTCTGACAACTGTTTACATTTTGTAATTTTAATTCTTGTCACTAGTAGTGCTGCGATGTAAAACCTGGTTGAACCAATACGACAAGATGTGCAACGAAAATGGTAAAAGGATCTCTAGGACGCTGAAATCGTGAGGCGAAAAAAATACATTGTATGCGAAGTCTATTCATATACCTCGTCTGTGGCAAAATCAATCTAAATCGATACGGCAAAATGTGACAAGAAGATGATAAGGGACGCTCTAAGCGTGTAACACAAAAATGCATTGGGCATCATATCTATTCTATACCTCGTTTGTGTATGAAGTCTTATATGATGCAAGATTTATAGTCTGTGCCTACCTATTGTCTATGCCGATACCATTGACTAAATATGATTATGTAGCGACCTATAGTTCCTCGAGTACGAGTTTCGAACACCAACTTGTACAAGTCGCAAGTGGCTGTGTGCCTAGCGTCGAAGTCAATCGATATTCGATGTTAAGCAAACGGAGTGCGGAACACCGTTAGAATGGATGCCCATTCAATCTAGCGAGTAGTTACAACAACAAGCGTCTGGGGTAAGGGGTCGCTGTCATCAGCCCCACTGATGAGTCTAGGCAGCGACTCTGAAACGCACAACCTTTCCTCACCTTACCCACATTACCATTTCCTACATTATCCTCGCATCATCATCAACACTTACAATCCCTTCAATTAGTCAATGTTTAGCGATCTGTACTTTGAAGTATTTAGATCAACGATTTCTATGTTAAATCGTTTCGTCGAGATGTGTATTTAATATAAACAATAGAATATTTAAAAATTGTTAGTAATTTTATTATCACCATGGAAATGTTTACAGACACTTATAAATATTGTAACCATAGTAGAAATTATTCATTCGTTATTTAACTTCCATTATTTAATCTTCATTAAATTATTAGTAATTATAAATTTAAATTACCATAATCACTACAAATGTGTAGTGATTATTAGTAGATGGTAATTTAAATTTATATCACAATACTACAAATAAATAATAACTCCGTAATTAATTTTAGTTGTTTATATAAAAATATTATCAATATAACAAAATATATAATTTAATGAACATAGATATCGTTGAAGTATAAATACTTCAAAGTAGAGGTCGCTACAAATGCCAATACTATGATGCCATCTGTCAGATTACAGTGTGGTTTTATATATGCATTTTACATTTAACTTATTTTAAGTCGTAAGTTGCTATTATATCGTTGGAACGTATGATCAGTTTTGTATTGTAACTCTAGTGACAACTTGCTTTAAGATTGAGCAATAAGTTCAAATAAGTACAATGAATTGTAAATTGAATATGTGAGCGTGGAAAAAGTCTCGTAACATATATAATTTAGTGTATCTTTTCATTTTATTATTAAAATGGATTTTGGAACTTTATTGAGTGTGGCACAGAAAAATGAAAATAATAAGCAGGTTATTATATTTCCATTTTTTAATCTTTCTTTAATTTCATGATTTTATAATTTTTAATAAAATTATACGTTGTACTTTCTAGCCAATTGCTTGTTATCAAACAAAATTCGCTCCACCCAAAAAGTCAAGCAAGCAAAACAAATCACTTTCGGAAAATATAAAAAAATTTCTAGCTCGGAAGGAAGAAGAAGAACGACTGAAGGCGTTAGAGGAAAAGAAAAAACGAGAGGTATTAAACTTTTGTACAATTGTAATTAATTTCTAAACATTTTTCAGTATGTTCATAAATCTCTAATTTTTTGTTATTGTTCTTATTTTATTTAGAATTTAATATCACTTCGTGATCACAAGGCCCAAAGTCGAATAAATAAACATTTGAAAGTATGTAAAGCCGCAAATAAATCTGTATTGCCAGATGCAATTGACAATGAGAACACAGCTGTTACGATGGCAGGTATGAAATGTTATTACATAAGTAAAAAAAAACATACATTTTGAAAAATTGGAAGTGAAAATTCTTAGAATTTAGTTAAAAAAAAAAAAAATATACTAGTTGTAATGAAAAATTTATCCTTGGAAACATAAATTTTTACAAACGTTATTTAAGCTTTGGAACATGTAAGTTAAGAAAAAAACATTTTTGATATATTATTTAATGATCAAAGCACATAATATTAACTTCCATTGTACATTTTACTATGTCGCATTATTATATTTTGTGTTTAACATAATACATTAATTTAAGTAAGTGTCAATCTATGAATGTTTTTTTTTTCATAGATAATGTAAAGCAAAAAAATTAATAGATTTTTCTTTATTATATTTGTATTTAATACATTATACTAATTAGCATAGATTTGCAATATTTAATTTATATTATTGTTTATAGTTAACACAAATATTATAAATAATATTATTTAAAATGTAAATAGTATATGTGGTATAGGTAGGAATTTAAGTCTTCAATTTTTTTTTTTTGTTTTATTGTAATTGTCATTACAAAGTTTTCTATAAATTTGATAATAAATGCATTGAGAGAAGGGTATCTAAGCTACTATGTAAGTTCTGCAAAAAAAAAAAGTAATGCAATCTTCTGTATGATCAATGATCTCCATATTAATGAGTATTTAAAAGTATCAGTCTGTATTCATAATGGGCAGTATTTTTGCCCACAGGTAATTGAGTATGAATATATGCAATCAACGCAACCTTCTTACTTTTCCACCGTCCAACAGGGCAGTGAGATTTTGTGGATTTACGTGGGAGAAGATACCAAGCAATTAAGGTCAGAGTAACTATAATTCTAGAGTAGTCTATGGGATACAGACTCCAAATTGATTATTATTTTTGGTCAAATTATTTTGGTCAAAAATTTGATTTTGTTTGCTATTATATAAGATAACTCAGGTTTTAACAGCCAAATTATGTCACTGTATTCTATGGATAAAATTGAGCAAAAGATGTTATGTAACGTGTATCATTATTTAAGATATTATTAATTTTTTTATTATATTATCTATATTACATTTATAGCTTTATTGAACTAGTCAACAAATTTGATTCATATAAATTTTATTTGAATGTAGGCAATACTCAGTACTGTTTCCATTTTGTTTTCAATAGGTTAAATGACTTTGCTTTTTTTAGTTTTCTGATGTGTGAAACTTGCAAATTTTTTTAAATTTATATAATATTATGAATCTTCTAATTTATGTCTTTTATTTTGCTTTAAAATTTTTATAAAGAATTTTATATATCTTGGAGCAGCCGCTATTGTCCTAAAGTATGGAGATTTAAATCTTAATATCCAGTATAGTTTTTTTTTTATTTATTCTTATTTTTTTTCCATATTTAGATCTTGTTCAAATGTATACTAAGATATTTTACATTGTTTTGATAATAAATATAATAAATAATAAACATGTTCACAATACGTTTTATAGTAAAAGCAATATAAATTGGTTTTACATTGATTTTAATTTTCTATTTTTTAATCTGTTCAATTGTCTTACTCAAGAATTCCTATGAGTTTTGATGTTTCTGAGAAATCTTTATACAATGTTAAAATTGCAATATAATCTGCGGTTAATAGTATATTACAGTTATTAATAGTAAATACAGTTAATAGTATATTTTCACTATATGGGATTGTAAAAATTTGACAACATAAGATTTAGCATATTTCCTTATAAAATGCGATAAGATATATTTTAGAAAAGTTGTCATTTTATTTTACATTTTATTTAAATAGAATTTGAATTAATTAGAATAATTGTATAGAAGATTTTGTTAAATATTAATTTTGTTTAATTTTATGTAGTAAAATCATATGCTAATCTCTGTCGAAGGTTTGACTTATATATATAAAGATAGCAGAACATATTTTGTATTCTTCAAAACTTTTCTCAATGTTGTTAACTATTTAATAAATTTGTTCAATTGTGGAATAGTTCTCTTGCAATTTAAGTTGGCTTAAATTATTTAATTAATAGTTTTTTAAATGGTTTTAATAAAATTTATGATCAGTTTTATTACTTCAGTTAAAAATTTGTCTGGTTTTAGAACAACTTGTGCAAATTTCCATTGTACCTTCGTAATTTTATTGAATTGGCGTATTTTTTTTTTTTTTTTTATTCTTCTCAAAACAGTTTTTGAAAATGGAAGTATGTTATTATTTGGTTTAATGGGAAAAACTTTTATTTGCTATTTTCATTTTTATTGTAAATGCAATTATGTGCTTTGTTCTTGTAAGAAATTAATAAGAATGTTATTATAATTTATCAATCTGTTGATGTTTCAAATTTGTGAAACAATTGATTGAGTGTTACATTAACATTTGCTCTTGTTTCTTCTATATTGCCTTTTTTTACCTGAGCATACTTTATGTTTTTTCTTATTATTTGACTTCAAAATATTTTCACATTGGATTTACATCTTATCCTTTGTAAGTCACAGGATGGATCAGTTAAATGAGATCATGTTTCGACTATTTTTTATTAAATTTTTGAGAAATTGTTGCACTATTTTAAAAGGTTAAATGTAACGCTGGAAATATTTTTTTTTTTATAATCATAAAGAAAAGAATGATAACTTTGAAATCTTTTAAAGAAATAATTATTGAAAAAAAATATATTTCTAACAGTTCATTTGTCTCTTCAAATAGTACAACTTTGAGGCTTATACCTCAGAAGTTTAATAAAAAATAACGGAGATATTTAGATGATTCCATTTAGCTGATTTACTCTGTAATTTTGGAATTGGAATCTATTGCACAGTGTACATTTTATTGTACTATTTTTCATTTTATGTAAATGTTAGTAGGATGATTTGTAAATTTTAGTTTTTCAACAAAACATTGAAATATTTCTTTTCCTTCGCACTACTTTTATTACGGTATTAAAAGAATTTTT